AAATAGCCTTCGGGCCTTGAATTTATATGTGAGCGCGACCCATGACCTGCGTACACGAATGACGTATCGAATGGAGCAAAAATTGGCCCATTTGGAGTGTTTGCATTTCCAATTTTTTTTGCTTTCTTCAACTGAATTTTAAGTTTCTGAAATTGCTAAAATCCCAATGGTTATAGTAAAAACTGAAGCAACTTCAATGTTTATTGCCACAGAGTTAATGAGTAGTTTTAAGTTATATTAAATCTCATTTTCCAGCAATTTTACACACACACGAAAATATACTGGAGAAAAACTGTGTTTGCATATTATTGTTCTCTGCGTCTGTCTGCAAACATAATCTCGATTTTTGTCAACGTCGTCTTGGTGGTAATATTGTTCGGATACTAATCAGTTAGCTAGAGTAGTATCTGTGGTGCTCAGATCCTACTAGTTTTGTCATCGTATCCTGAGAAACAAACTCTCGAATTAAATCTCAAGTACTTACAGTGAAAGGGTGAATCTGTTTTAAGGAAACTGTGCTCCCACAGACCTCGGGTTGAAATTTAATTCATTATTTATTTAATTCCTGCAATTTTATGTATTTTTGTAATTTATTCGTGTGCTTTATATAATTTGCAGTTTTATTATTTTGTCATTCTATTTATGTTTTAAATAAAATCAGATTGACAAAAGAAAACGGAATACAGTTTCTCCTAAATTTTCAGAATACTGTATATACGGAATAAGCAAGATCGGTATATGTAAATATGGTAAACTGTTGCAAATAAGGTATGTTGTGGCAAGTACAGTAAATTGTTGTAAATACGGTATGTTGTATATACGGTGTGCATAAATCCAATATGCAAATTACATATACAGTATGAATGAATCTGGTTTCATCCACTAATACTAAATTCCAACAAACTTAAAATTGATCTTTGAGAAAAAAAATTGGTTTCTTATATTGTTAATTTTTAGAAACTAATTTTTTTCGTTTGATTTTCAGAAATTGCAACCGATTAGACTAACATGGCTGTGACCCAAACTGTGCCTACTGAAAATTAGGTTGTGGGCTCTGTTGTGGCTCAAGGGTCAAACTCTGTTGTGGCTTAGACTGTGGCTAAAATTCCAAGCCATGTTATGAGTCAAACTGTGGATCCAACAACTAGCCATACCATTAATGTTCCGGTTAATAATGGAGAAAAATCGAAAAAATTCAATGACTTGAATTTCAAAAGGTGGCAACAAAAAATGCGATTTTACCTGACCACTTTGAGTTTTGCGAGATTCTTGACTGAGATTGCTCCAAAACTCAATGAGGGTGATGGAGACGTTTAAGCAATTAGTGCACTCGATATTTGGAACCATTTAGATTTTCTGTCCTGAAACTATATTATGAACAGCTTAGTAGACACGCTATACAATGTGTATAGTATTATGAAAACTGCTAAGGAGTTGTGGGAGTCATTGGACCGAAAATATAAAATTGAGGATGCCGAGGCTAAAATGTTTCTTGTCAACCGATTCTTATATTATAAAATGGTAAACTCCAAAATAGTTATCAGTCTAGTTCAAGAACTCCAAGTGATTCTTTATGAAATTCATGTCGAAATGATGATTTTGAGTGAAATTTTTAAAGTGGTTGCAATTTTTGAAAAATTGCCCTGCCCCCCCCCCCCCCACATGGAAAGATTTCAATAATTATTTGAAGCACAAACGAAATAAGATGAACATTGAAAAACCAATTGTTAGACTTCAAATTGAAGAAGACAACAAGAGTTTGGGTGGAAAGAAAACGAATTTCAGGGAATTGAGTTGCCTATAACTTGTTCTCTTGGGAATTAACAATTAAATGTATTTGATTGGTATAATTTTCCACCCGAAAAATGTTGAAATTTTGGATTTTTTGACGTTCTTTTGGTCTTGTTTTTTATGAAAATTGTCAATTAAAGGGGTAAATTTTTTTATAATTGTTGATAGATTTTGTTCCCATTGCTGAAGTTTAAAAAAAAAAAAAAAAAAGCTTGGAAATCATTTTCTCAGCAATACCATAGAAATTAGTTTTCCTTAAAAAGCTAGAAAAGATGGTCATGTGGGGGTGGGAAATGGAAAACCAATTCCATGGAATTTGTTTGCAATCAAACACCCAATTTTGGATGGAAATGGAAAATGTTGTGGGGGAAAAAAAAAAAAAAAGAGGGTTATCAAGCATTGACTTACTGTCTATTTCTTTTTAATTTTTTATGTAACGTTCCTTCTTGTGTCCATGCAATCTATACAGCAAGTTAGTTGTCGTGCTCGAACTATTCTGTATTAAAATTCAAGATAGTAGAGAAGGTAAAATGATGTTTATTTAAATTGCTTTTAACAACTATGCCACGTGTCTAGTATTTTGAACAACCCCTCTATCTTTTTAACTATTTTTCTCATTAAAATTTACCACCCTTATTATCAATATCCATAAATACCATACCTAGTAATAAGCGTTCATATTAAAAGGGTGTTTGTAGTGGTTTATCTTAAAAATATAAGTTCCAAATGTGTAGTTTATGTTGTTTTATTATGAATGTAGGTAAGCCCACATTAAAAGTAAACTCATATTTATTGCTTATCTTTAAGATAAGTATCCAAAATATACTTTAATTGACCTTATTATCATGATGAGAAAAATAAAAAATAAAAAATTAACAATAATTAAAATGTGATTTGCATATAATGTAAATGCTTAAAATTTCAAAATATTGTGCCTAAAACTGTTTTTCATTGCTACTGATGTTGAACTTCACTCGATATCATTTTCGTTAACCATAAGTACTATATCCAACATATGTTTGGCACTTATTTATAAACAATCAACCCTCTTTTTTATTCAAACATTTCGAGAAGTTCATAATACCATTCACTTATTAACTGCTCATTTTTATCTATTTATAAAAACTGTTCAAACGTGCTTTAAATATATATGTAACAAAATATATTGTGACATGCCGACTATGTCTGTTCTAAGGATATTTAATGCTACTTTGGAGAATATTATTAGACTGTTTATAACTGTAGTTTCTAATAGATAAAATATCTCGTATTTTCTATACAAATAGTCAAGATGGCCGAGTTGATCTAAGGCACCAGTTATAAGCACTGGATCAAAAGGGCATGGGTTTGACAAGTCAATTTTTTTTTTTTTTTTTTTTTTTTTTTTTTTTTTTTACTTTTGAATCTTGATAATTTAGTTGCCGTTGCATTAAACTCACAAAAAAAAAAGAAATTCTCTCCTTTTTTATTTTTATTATGGTACTGATCTCAATAGAAAAATATAGGTATAATTGGAAATCACAAATAACTTGTATAAATTACAACGGTAAATAAATAAGTAAATATTTTATTATACTACAATTGTAATTGTGTCTTTTTACTGATTATAAATATTTTCGTTTTTGCATTCCATGTAACAGCGTCTATTCTCATTCGTTATAAATGCAACCCATTTTATGGATTTTTTAAACCCATTTTATGGATTTTTTAAACATTTCCTTATCTTTGCTATTTATTAATTATGACGCTTGTTGACTATTGATTTTATCGTGAAACAACTTGTCTATGCAATTTGTGATAAGCCCTTAATTATCTTTAAGAAATACATGTCCGAAATCTTTAATAAAATGAAATGAATCAACCCAAAGACTACATCATTATCTCATATAAAAATAGTTTAATAAAAGCGGTAATTACAAATCTTAAACAACCCGACAATCGAATCTAAAGAAACATAAAGCAAACATAAAGAAGGAGCTACGCTCCACCAAGTTGTAGATGATGCGGTGGCTAGTTATCAAGAAGTCTGGCACATGGTTGCCCTCTTGAAAATGTGTCACATACGCGTGAGAGGAGAATTAAAGATTTAGCCCTTTGTCCGAATTAAAATCTAAATTTTAATCTAAATTAATGTCAAAAATTAATTTTGACTACATATTCTATGAGATCCATAATTTTTCAACAATACATTTCATCGACTTTTATCAAAATCTACTAAAAATTTTATTTGAAACCCTATCAAACTTGGACTTAATAAAGTCGTCTCATGATGCATGCCATATTGAGTGAAGAAGTTAAGAAATGTCATTTGCGTGTAAATGTTTCAATTCGAAGTGTTCGATGACTAGTTTAGTGTGTGTTCAATACAATATATCAAGTTTAGTGATGTAAAATAGGCTTAGAAGATCAAGTCTGAAACGTCCTTGCATGTAAAAATTTGAACCTTGGACAATTGGTCCAATTTATTAAAAATGAGAAGGTGAATAAGTAAAAGCAATACAAGATAAGTTGATTGGAGAGATTTTACGAAGTCTTCACTTATTCTATAACAGTATAAAATAAATTATCCGGCCCTATATGTTGTCTTATTCTATCTTTTTAAAACAATTAATCTACTAAGCATGTTTGGTATGCTAGCCGATACAATTAGATAATATTGTCATTTTTTTCGGATAGTCCGGTACATGTAGCATACCAAACTTACCCCTAATTTAAAAGTAATTATGACGCTTGTTGAGTATTGATTTTATCGTGATACAACTTGTCTATGCAATTTGTGATAAGCCCTTAATTATCTTTAAGAAATACATGTCTGAAATCTTTATAATAGTGTGTTCTACAAATATTGCACACGCAAGAACAGTGACGGCGCTAGTAGATTTCCGATCTCAGTTATTTTAAAAAAAAAAAAATGTTTTTTTCTTTTTAATTTTATTTGGATATTATTATATTTTGTGTTCAAAATTTTTCATACTTATAGTAGACATTCAAAAATTATATTTAGTTAACGTGACACGCACGCAAGGTAAACTAATAATAGCAATAACCTAGTTTATAGAAAATCTACCTGACTGCTACTTTGCAAACATGTTTGAACAATATGTGGCGGAGGACAATTAATTACAGTAGGCCCAGTAGAATCATAACATATGATAATCTCATACATCAGTGGACGAGGTTTTTTCTTGTTTGTGCGATGATTTTGCATCTTATCTGAATCCGGCTTCTTGTACCTCCAATAATGGATGCATTGACTCCATAGATTCTGCAGGCTGAATTCCACTTTGTCGGAGGGTCCGTAAAATGTAGTACTCATTCTTCAAATCTGCTGCCAATTTGAAGTAGGCATCATAATCATTTGGTGTAGTAGAGCATGTGCCTTGTTTCGTCCATTCATGCTTCCAAAATGACTGGCCATTTGGTCCTTTACAATCTAGCTTAAGTAGATCAGGCCAACTAGATTCTAATCTTGAAACCAAATTTTGATCCTTGACAAGAAATAGCATTTCTCTATGTTAAATCAATGTAAAAATACAATAATTAAAAAGAAAAAAAGAGGATAAAAATGTTACCTTAATATAGTTGAAAGCTGTGCCGGCACAATTACTCAACTGCCCAATGTAGTTGTCGGGCCACAATCCGTGAAGTGTGAAATTGTTAGGAATTCGTAAGCAATTGTTAATGCTTGTTTTACAAAAAGCCCTAGGCCATATTTGAACCAACTTCAGTAATCTAACCCGTCCAAAATGTACAAGTTGGAAATAATGATGGCCCATAGTACGAATAAGGAAATGTTTGTTGTTGGCATCATATTAGAGTCAAATGGCCCTCGGGGTTGGTTTGTATGGATAGCTTTTAATTATTGAAGTGAACAAAACAAAAATAACTCACTAAGGTCTAAGTTTGTTGACAACAGTCCAAATTTTACTTCAATTAAATACAATTACAACATCGTGTTAAACTCATTTAACGTTGTTTGATAAACACAACCAGTGCTTAAGAAACAACACGGAAAGAGTTAAATTGTTTTATTCTTTTTTCCCAGGGTGCATTGAGTTAGGAGGGGGTTGACATTGACTTATACTAGAGAACGAGCTTTTAATTAACAAACAAAATTTAGACATCAGAGGAATTATATAAAATTCTTATTGCTAAGGTGAAAATGAAGGTCAAGGGACTTAGCTAATTAATTGGTCAGATGGTCGAAATCACGTATTACAAGAGAGATAGAAGGATAGAAACATATGGAATCTTGACTTAATTTCATAATCTCGAAAAGATATAAAGCAACTCCAAATGTGTCTCCATCATCTTTTCGTTTGAGGATCTGAATTTCTTGAAGAGACGTCATGGTGTTGTAATTAATCCATCATCCATACATCTGTTGTCTCTGCAATGGATTAGGAATGGTAAAGACCAAATAAATGATGATCTGGGGACAATAATCGTATCTGTATAGCGACGCCGTTTGATCTAATCTGGCCCATCATGGAATTAGGGACTTGAGCCTGGTCTCTATATATATATAAACCCACACTTTAATTGGATGCATAATGGTCCAAAATTGAATCCTTATTAGATCACTTATAACTGGGTTTAACCAAATTTCATAGCCTTTAATTTAACACACAATTATTCACACATATAAGCTCATCTATTTATTAAAAATTCTTATAAAAACCACCCGTGAATCCAAACCTGAGTGCTTAGAAGAACAAGGGAGAGCTTATTAATATGTCATTATTTATCTCCAATTTTATCCTCTCCTCTTCTTCCATTCTCTAGTTTAAGGATTTAGCATTGATAGAGTAAGTGTTCTTCTGATCAACTTGTGTTTACAAGAAAATAAAAAAAAAAAATCTGTTTTAAGTTTCCCATTTTGAGGTTAGTTTCTTCCACCAGTAGTCATATTTCTTCACTTTAATAGCATAATTCTTGATAAAGATTGTATTTTTTTCACAAAACTTTCTGAACTATGTTCTTGTGGTTTTATAGCCTTGATAGTTCTCTCTCTCTCTCTCTCTCTAAGTGAAAAATTAAAAATCACCTTTTTCTTCACTTTAATAGCTTAATTCTTGATTAAGATTGTATTTTTTCACAAAACTTTCTGAACTATGTTCTTGTGGTTTTATTGCCTTGATAGTTGTTTTTTTCCTTTTTGTTTTTCTTCTTTTTCCCCTCTCTCTCTAAGTGAAAAACTAAAGATCACCTTTTTCTATTTCGTGACTTAAATAGGTAAGGTGGATTGAGAACAAGCTAGCACGCAAGTCACCTTCTTGAACGCCAAAATTTCGGGTTGATAAAGAAAACCACAAACTTTACTTTCTGTGCCGGGCTCTGGGATCCTGGAAATTGGACATATTGCAAGGGAAAGCTTTTAGAGTATTGCAGCTTTGAGGTAAAAGGATTCAATTAACTTTTCCAAAATTATCGTTTTTAACAATATCATAAATGTTCAATTAGAAATGATCACTCACAACGATTTCTCTTTTATTTCTGGTTTTTATTTGATGTACAGTCAAATTTTGAAAATCTTTATCGGGTTAGAATTGATCACAATGGTTTCTTCTTTATTCGTACTGTGGGCTATCATCATTCCCAACTTGTACGTTTCGGAGGGGTTAGATTACCACAAGTTGGTTCAAATATGGCCTAGGGCTTTTTGTAGCATAAAGAATAGAAATTGTCTTCGAACTCCTAACAACTTCACACTTCATGGATTGTGGCCCGACAACTACATTGGCCAGTTGAGTAATTGTGCCGGCGCACCTGCCAAAGATATTACGGTAACATTTTTGTCCTTTCTTTACATTTATTTAAAATCATTTTATTTTTACATTGATTTAACACATAGAAATGGTATTTCTTGTGAAGGATCAAAATTTGGTTTCAAGATTAGAATCTAGCTGGCCTGATCTACTTAAGCTAAATTGTAAAGGACCAAATGGCCAGTCATTTTGGAAGTATGAATGGATGAAACACGGCACATGCTCTACTACCCCAAACGATTATGATGCCTACTTCAAATTGGCGGCAGATTTGAAGGATGAGCATTACGTTTTACGGACCCTCGGACAAAGTGGAATTCAGCCTGCAGTATGCACGCTTTCTGGACAATCGACTGTTAACATCTATGGTGTCAATGCATCCATTGTTGGGGCTACAAGAAGGCAGATTCAGATAAGATGCAAAATCAACAGCACAAACAGGAAAAACCCTCGTACACTGTTGTATGAGATTATCATATGTTATGATTCTACTGGAACTACCGTAATTAATTGTCCTCCGCCACATATTGGTCAAACGTATTTGCAAAGTAGCGGTCAAGTTGATTTTCTATAAACTAGGTTACTGCTATTCCTAGTTTACATTATGTGCGTGGCACGTTAACTATATGTTGGGTGCAAATAACAATATTTTGTACTTCAAACAATGTACTAGCAATAACTTTTTTAACTTTTTAACTAAATATTCCTTCAAGTTAAATATTCTTTATTTTAAGTAGTAAAATCTTGAAATTAGACTCCAAGGGACAATTCAATTTAACTTTTTAAAATAGATCATGGGTATAACTTTCGAATATATATATATATATAAACTCTTAAATTTTATTTTTCAAGCATTTTATTCATAATGAAGAACATCATTAAGCTTATGTTGGCCCCATTTTTGCAAAATCCATTTTCAACCACATATTATCACATAAAATAATTTTGTACGCCAACGCAAAACTTTTCCTTATTTTTTAGGGTTTATGTGTAAATTATTTTATGTTAAAATATGTGGTTGAAAATGAGTTTTTAGAAGAATGGTGGCCTAACATAGGTTTAATGATATTCTTTATTGTAATAAGATCCCTTTAAAAATAAAATTGTGACATTGACGTCGGCCGCTAACAAAAAAATATTTATTTGAACATTAAATGAGCTCGTGATACTCACATAATGTCAGATTGAAAATGTAAAATTATCTAAAAAGATTTCTTTTATTTCAAATGAAGTAGAGTAATACATATAGAAGCGTGAGAACACGAAGTTCAAGAACATCCTTCTAGTTCGTGTTGATTCAATCATGAATGCAAGAAAGCTAGGTATCAAATAATCATTGATTTTGCTAGATATTGATAATTTTAATTGTATATGTATTTATGTCCATATTTGTGCATGTCAGATACGTAAGTTCGCACGTACACCACTGTGTATGGTATATATTGTCTGGTAGAAATTCTCATTTTAATTTATAGAGAAATTGTGACCGTTGCTTTTTAGTTTGATAGACATTTACGGCAAGAAATCAAAGATCTCAGCCACAATGTTGGACCAATTTAGATTAGAATGATCATTTTGTCCTAAATAGTTAAATCATTGTTTATGATGAATAGGCAATTTAGGTATTTCACTGATAGATCTTCAAACATTGCTGTCAAAGTGGGTCCCATATGCTAGTGGGTGACGGTCAGATAATTGCTCAAGATCAATAAAAAAGCACTACCAGATTTGCTTGTGCTCTTCAAAGATATGGGCAGTTTGTTTTCAGAAAAAATTAGTTGTGGTCTTAAATCGTAATGAAGGCTGAGAGAGATACAGAAAGAATATGATATGATTGCCGTTGGTGGGGGTAGGTTAGAGTGGTGGGGGAGAGTCTTTTCCAAGAATAAGAAAAAACACAAATTACTGTGGATGAAAGTAACAGCAGAGAATGAGTGGAAGGCAGAAATAGAATTATGATTTCTCATTTCTTCTCTAAGTATGGAATTTAAATTAATCCAATTCGATTTCTTCAATCAAGTCACGAATTTAATAATCGATATCAATGGAGGATCTAACTGTATAAGATTTTAAGCTGTAATTGTTTAAATATCTAAAATCTTCATAGTCTATTATTTAAAATGATTTATTTTGAGGATAATTATTTGCATTTTCAAGTTTAACTAAATATGACAATTAAATCAATTGATTAAATGGTTCGAATGGTTCTTGAAAAACATGTTTCAATTTTATTACTATTTTTTTTTTTATTTGAAGGGTCGAAAATATTCATTTGAAAATGATAAAAAGGAAAGCAAGCATCTTATTAATTTAAAATTATATCTATGCAATTTAAAAATTATTTATCTGAATTTATAAACATCATAGCGGATTGCATATGAATTGAAGCCTTATGATGAGACTCTGAAGAAAAGTAAAATGGTTGATGCATTAGACACCAACCCACTTTTTAGAATATAAAGTAAACATTTCTGGTCAAGTTGAGGTTTTTTTTAAGGTATCGAATAGAGAATCATATTGAAACAGTTTGTTTCTCGATTTCAATATCTAGAATCAAATAGAATTTGAGTGGAACCAGATTGAACCAGTCGATTTTGATTGAATTCAAACGGTTATGATAATTTTTGCACACTCCTGTTAGGAAATAACATCTCGAAAATCATAAATTAAAATTTAATTGATTTTGTGGATCATCTGAAATTTTATAATAGGCATATAATAGTTGTGAATTCTATAAAATGTATTTATAAAATATATATTTGATAAAAAAATATATACCATTTATACAATTAAACAAATGAATATCATCGCTTTAATGATTAAAGCTTTTATTTTAGTCGGTGGTGGACAAATCGACTTAGAAAACCTCTTCAATAGATAATAATGCGTGGAATACCATCATGCTGTTCCTCTCTTTTAACTGATTTCAACTTCTGCATTCGTGTGCAATTTAGGTAAACTTTTCATTGAATGTGAGGTGATGACCAAATTCATGTTAATGTGTGTTTCTGCATGCAAGTACATAATGATAGCAGGGTTATGGTTAAATGGTTAGTGATTTTTTTGGAGTGAAGGCACTGAATTTGTACAAGAATTCTGCTCAGCTGCTCGTGGGCAGTGGGAAAAAAATAGTCTTTTGGGGTTTCTTAAAGAAAAGTGTAAATTTCTAATCGTGGAAATCCCTTGAGAAATCTTGATTTCGGACTCAAAAAACAACCAAACGAACAACATTTAATCTCGGCTCGAGCTGCTCGACCCAAACCTTTAACTTTCACTTTGGTTGCTCCAAGAGCTCTCAAACTCCACAAAGATGAATGGATGGTGGTGTTAATAGGAAGAAGAAGAGACAACAATGGTGGGAGTCACTCCAACAACCCCTCTAGCCGGCTACCCCTCAACCCTCTCTTTCTCTCGGCCCTCTCTTCCACATACACACACATACACCATCAATGGCTGCAGGAGAAGAGATATGAATATAAAGCCAAACCACCTAGGTCACTCAATTAGGTCAAGACTTATGCAAATGGGTTACCACTTAACCTAAACTAATGGGCTAATATCCAAGTTCAAACTCACCACTAAATGGTCCAACTAACTAAAAAGCTTTTTAACTCAAACTTGGACCTTCCAAAAGCGTCGATCATATTGAGTCGAGCCAAGTTCATGGCTCTGATAAATTATTCGACAACTGTTTTAAATCATCAACTAAAATAATTGGGTATAAAAACCCAACATTTCTGCTACACTTTTGAAGTGGAAATTTTGTGGCAAACTTATTGAGTGTTTTGGTTAAAGAAATCTTTACTTTCACACGAATCTTTACTTGCAAATGCATAATTGGCAGCAGAGTTATTGATTTGAGCTTCTAATTTCTCTAGATTTTGATGCATTACCTAGTGAAAATATTGGCAACAGTAAAGATTCGTATATTATTTGTTTACAAATGCATAATTAACTGTTTAAGGCTTGAAAATTATTTGTTTATTGCTTACTCCTATGTGCTATCGTTAATTACTCATGCTCATTATTCAGGTTTTTATATGAATTTTGATTGCTAAATCGTTTCACGTGCATAAAGTTTGGGAAATTTTTAATTTAGACTCATCAATCGAGTTCTATTGCTCTTTACTTATAATTATGTTTGCTCGAAAAATTGAATCTAAATGTGCCAAAAGAAAACGAAATAAAAGTGTTTGAACAATTGATCAAATATGATGCTAGCCTAATTTCTTGAGGTTGTGAGTGATGTTTTATTTTGCAATTCTATCTTTTAGCTTGTAAAAAGAAAAAAATTATAGGGCCTTGTAATAATTATTTGCTTAGGGCCTAAAAATTCTTAGGATCAGTCCTGATTATAGTTGTGCATATTGGAGTAGCACGCTAGTTTTTATTTTTCCACTTGCCGCTTCCTCTAGTTGGTGATTCTGATGTTTTTGAATATAACTGTAAACATATATTCATTAATTTGGCTTGCCCTCTATTTAATTTCTTTTGTTTGACTTCAAACGTAAAATTAAAAGATAGAAAACATAATAGATAATATATTCCGAGTACCATTTCCAAAGTTTCGTTCCATAATCTCTTTGCAGCTGCTTTAAAAAAATAATACTTAGGTCCCTTATAGATAATCTGTTACGAGTAACTTTTGCTCAAAAAAAATAAGAAAACACACGAACATTAAAGATTTCGAAGGGAAAGTTTCCAGCTGAAAAAATTGTCAAATATTTACAATGCTGCTATTATTTAGTTTTTTCAGTTCATTGTAAAAATCGGAAATTGTCTACCAAACATGGTGATTGGTCAAATTGTTTTACTTTTGAGAATTCAGCAAGAAGCCAATGAAACATTTGATAGTCTTTAAAGCAACCTAGAGGAGGTGTATAAGTTTGTATTCGCATTTTTTTGGTTATGGAAATTGGCTTTTGCTCTTGTGTAAATGTCCTCGTGTGCCCTTTCATCTATCTAGGAACAACACCTTTTAGCTTTTAGTTTAAGTCCTCATTCCGGATACCGTATAGTTATTAAATATCCAGATCTACTCTTCACCTTTGAGCTCAGTACTGGTATATATTCTTACCTTATTATTGTCGTGACAAAAATTTAAATAAATTTCAAATTAATTAAATTTATTTAAATAATTAACTATGAAAGTTTACCTCAACTAACACGATTTGACGTAAACTAAACATTAGTGATTGATCTTGTAATGACTACTGAATAGGATTATCTCACCTCAAATTTAATTTTTCCAAAATTGTGCGGGATCTGCCTTCACTTCACTTACAGAATTTCCTGAGATAGACCTAAACTAATATGGACTCAGAGGCCAAGAGTTCCGAATGTCGGCTTGAGTAACGCAAACATTGGTGAGAATCCAATGCCCGGAAAGTGCTCATGTCAATAAAAGTAAACCGATGCCTTTGAACTTACTTCTATACCACCATCTTTTTCATCTATACCGGAGAATGTGAGGAATAAAAACCTCCCTAGTATTTGTAGAGAAAATATTGATTCTTGATTGTTATTAAACTCATTAGTTGGATTAGTTAGTGAGTTAGAAAATCAGTTAGGAGCCTTTGGTTTTAACTAATTTTCTGGTAGTTATTTTAGCTGAATATTACACACATATTCTTGTAAGTCTCTTGATCTGTGGCTATAAGTAGGACCAGTTCTGATACGTGAAAGGGTGTGGACAAGAAAATGTGGGGAGCACATTTTCTGTAGAGAGTGAAAGTAGGATTGAGAGAGAAAGCTCTCTGCGGGCAATTCTTGTAAACTTTCTGGAAGCTTTCTGGTTATTCTCGGTTGGGTGATGAGTGGTGTTGTTTTGTGTAAGATAAACACTGTAATATTTCCTCTTGTAATGGCAGATTGACTCGGGGTTAAATTCCCTGCATTGGTTGATGAAATTTTGTCCCGAAAAACCTGAAATTCTTGTGTCTTTAATCTGATTCTTTGTTGGTTTTGTTTCTGCCATTTCTTTCCTGCCTATCATTGCAAATATGATATGATCATTGTTTCCTGGGACATGAGAGTTGGTAAAAATCCTAAGAGTATTTGAACTAGAATGCCAAGTAGAGTATAACTATCTTATCCTGCTATCCCACTTCTATTTGAAAAGCATTTCGTACTTGTAACCGATCCCCTCCTAATGAAAGGTGTGCTTCAATTGAACATGACAAAATAACAAATGCAGGCTTTTGTTTACCAAATGTTCGATTCCTTCCCTTTCCATAATATTCTAAATGGTTCCTTAACTTTGTCATGAAAATCGTAACTAGGTAGCGTTGTTTAATGGTAAAATGATATTTTAGCATTTACATGTGATCCATCAATAAAGAAATTCGATACTATTGGATCCTTATATTTTTGTGCATCATAATTTTTTTGTCTTAATGTGTAGAAACTTCAATTTACTCGAACAATTGGCCAAAAAAATCAAATTGAACTGAACATATTCTTTCATTTGGATAGAAAATCCTCAATTCATATTTTATTGTCAAAATTGTACTTTGATATGTTAAGTTTTCAAAATTGCAAATTGGTCTTCCAGATTTTCCATCATTGAAATTATTTCCTCTTACCTCATATATTATATCATAGTTATCCTTGAAACTATAGGCAAGTCTGAAAATCACATGGCATTTTTCTTAAATAACAATTTGATCCCTTAAATTTTCATATATTTCAATTAATTCCAAAATTGCTCTCATGTCCACAAATGATTCATATGGCCGCTTGTGAATATTAAGTTCATCATTTATTCATTTAAATCTTATTTCTAAAAATTTTCATTTTGGTCCCTCAAGAACTGAAACAATTCCACTTTAGCCCTCGTGTTCTCAAATTGTAGATTAATATAACAAACTTTATGTATATAAAATGTAAAAAAAAAAATTTATTGAATATCTTTTTAAACTCCAATATATAATAGACATAAAACATAAATTCTTTTAACATTTAGTTAACGTGACAAGCACGTAAGCTAAACTAAAAATAGCAATAACCTAGTTTATAGAAAATCAACCTCACCGCCACTTTGCAAACATGTTTAACCAATATGTGGTGGAGGACAATTAATTACAGTAGTTCCAGTAGAATTATAACATATGACAATGGATGTGAATCTACTTAATCATGCGCAACAAAATGTAAAATAGATTTCAATTCTCATTAAAAATCGTCTCTGTGTTTAGATAAAAATTGTGATAAAAGTCATACCTTTTAAAATTTGCGAACTCCTTTGCTTTTTCTTTGTTCCAACCACCTTGATCTGTCTTCCACGATTGTCAAATTGTCCAGCCTCCAATGGTGATCCACACAGAGAACAAGATTGTAGAATTAGGGTTTTCTTTTTGTGCTAGTAAGAATAATGAATTCTCTACAGAGTTTGAAAATCATAGTCATATTTATATAAGTCTAAATGGACTTGGTCTGACTCGATCCAATATTTAATTAATCTATTTAATTAAATCTGGTCCATAAATTAATTAATTCAGACCTATAAATAAGCAACTCAATTAATTAATTTATCCAACGCTTGTTAAATTAATTAATTGACAAATCACAATCTTTCAGTTCTCATTTTGTGTGCGACCCATTAAGTTTCTGATCACGATATCTAAAGATGTGAATTACTATTTTGATCTAATAAAAATTGATAAATTAAAATACCCTTTTAATTTATCACCAATTCACACTCGTCGTCTCAAATTGACATCTAACAATGTGTTAAGGCAATACATGTGACGGGAAATGTCACGTGGTATGATAAAACCAAACTCATTCATTTACCGTGAAACTATAATCACTTCTTCAATATGATCCGATCAATTACGAGATTTGGAAGTACGTCAATCCCGATTATCGATCATATCTTTCATTGCCCTATTAAGTCAATATAAGTTGAAAACTTATTTTCGGCTTTTAAGTACACCTTGGCCAAGGATTTTATTATCGACTTAATTGACTTAATTGAATGAAATGCAGATCATTACCTCTTACTATCTAAGAGTGATGAATCCTCTATTGGTCATTCACAACCTTCATATGATTCTTGATATACCCGAACGATGCCGTATTAGTAGCCCTTGGCAGAGCAACATCCAACACTGTCAAAGCATAATTGTCCTCATATAAGGCACTATAACTACCTCAAGTTAAATGACCAATTTCACTACCGAACGTTAGAGATTAAGCACTAACACTCAGATAGATATCCATGTGGAATCTCTCGATGGGTCTCTAATGTTTTGTTCTATAGCAAAACATTCATGTATTCATTCAAGTGTTACAACACTTTAGCTTGTGAGATCAGCTATTTACTTCACAAGTAAGAAATGTCACACGTGATGATCTATCCATAATAACGATATCCGTATCTTGTCATTACGTACGACGACAGATGATTTAAGATTCGATCATATGTAATTTATATTTCACAATCACAACTTCTTGTGATAACAAATTACTAAGACTTGGATCTACGGACTCTATTATTTAATTCCATTGAATATTAATTAATTGAATAATAGATCTGTCATAAATCGTATAAACTATATATTAAAAGTATTTATGTCCAAAGTTGATTGGACATAGGGCATAACACTTACAATAATCTCATACATCAGCAGACGAGGTTTTTTCTTGTTTGTGTCAATGATTTTGCATCTTATCTGAATCCGGCTTCTTGTAGCTCCAACAATGGATGCATTGACTCCATCGATGTTAACAGTAGATTGTCCACAAGTTGTGCATACTACTGCAGGCTAAATTCCACTTTGTCGGAGGGTCCGTAAAATGTAGTACTCATCCTTCAAATCTGCTGCCAATTTGAAGTAGGCATCATAATCATTTGGTGTAGTAGAGCATGTGCCGTGTTTCGTCCATTCATGCTTCCAAAATGACTGGCCATTTGGTCCTTTACAATCTAGCTTAAGTAGATCAGGCCAACTAGAAATTTTGATCCTTGACAAGAAATACCATTTCTATATGTTAAATCAATGTGTTAAAAAAAAAAAAAAAAAAAAATATATATATATATATATATATATATATATAGAGGATAAAATTGTATTTATGGATATTGATAATATAGGTGGTAAATTTTAATGAGGAAAATAATTAAAAAGATAGAGGGGTTCAAAATACTAGACACGTGGTATAGTTGTTAAAAGCAATTTAAATAAACATCATTTTACCTTCTCTAATTTCTTGAATTTTAATACAGAATTGTTCCAAATAATATCAAATGTTACATCTCGATAATTAGAAGTTTGAGCACAAGCACTAACTTGCTGTCTAGATTGCATGGAAACTAGAAGGAACGTTACATAAAACATTAGAAAGAAATAGACATTAATGGATTAAAAAGAAAAGCAGCAAATGTCAAGATCCCCTAAATAAATATTTCGACTAGTCCTTCAAGCATTCACAAGTTCAAGTATATGCATAACATTTGTGCCTAATCAGGAAATACCTAACACCCAACTCCCAAACTGTGCCCCCTCCCCACAGAGAGAGAGAAAGAGAGGGCACACATCATGAGATAGAAAAGTTAAACTAACATTTGTACGAGCATTTACATATAAAAGCAGTCATGCTGGTTTTGCTCACTCTCTCTAGAACGTCTTTTTTTGGAAAGGGAATGAAAAACCTCTACTCTCATGTGAGAATCAGTTATCAGGGTTATCAGGTTGTGAATTTCCTGGCTTTATTGGTAGGGGTGCTCTAAAGAAATGGAAGCTAGCAAAAACAAACGAACACACATTTTGAATTGATTTCATTATTTATTAATCTTTGATTTGTACTGATAATAATGTAGTGGAATCCAACAACAAAAGCAAGAAGAGGAAGCATTCTGTTGAACCTTCAAAGAAGGATGCAAAGAAGTTCAAGGGTAATTGCTACAACTGTGAAAAAGCTAGATATCGCCCCGTCAACTATCGCAAACCAAAGAAGCAAGCCCAAGCAAATAACACTGAATTTGATTCCATATCAAATTGTATATCTGATATGAATTTGTCAATTGTCATTCTACAATGCAACAACATTGGAAACCCCATGGAATGATGAGTCGATATGAGTGCTACCCGTCACATAAGTGCCGATAAAGGAATGTTCACTTCTTACACTTCAGGAGAGGGAAAGAAACTGTTCATGGAGAATTCCTCAAGTTCAAAAGTGGATGGACAAGGTAAAGTGATATTGAAGATGACATCAGAGATGAACTTAGCCTCAACAATGTTTTTCACATGCCAGATATTCGGACAAACTCAGTATGAGATTTTTTGTTAAGCAATAATGGCTTCAACCTAGCCTTTGTATCTGATAAGTTTGTACTTAACAAGAATAACATAGACATACTTACCAAGAATAAAATATATGTAGGCAAAGGCTATGTAAAAAATGGACTATTCAAAATGAATTAATGTCCTAACTGTTGTACCAAACAAGTCAAGAAATAAAGTATCTTCTTCAGCTATATTCTTGAGTCGTTTAATTTATGGCATCACAGATTAGGACATGCAAACTTTAACTCTATATGCAAGATAATGAATTTAAGTTCACTTTCATGTATGCATTTTAATGAAAGAAAATGCGAGATATGTGTAGAGACAAAGTTGGCCAGAATGCCATTTCATTTGGTTGAACGAACCACGACACCTTTGGAGCTTATTCACACAAATATTTGTGACTTATAGTTCATACAAATAAGAGGTGGTAAAAAGTATTTTATCATGTTTATAGATGATTGTATAAGATACTGTTACGTATACTTGTTGAAAAGCAAAGATAAAGCCTTAGATGTGTTCAAACATTATAAAACTGAAGTTGGAAATCAAGTTGGAAAACGAATAAGGATAATTTGTAGTGATAGAAGTGGAGAGTATGTTGCATCGTTTGAAGAACTTCGTGCAAAATCTGGAATTATTCATCAAACCACTGCATCGTATTCACCTCAATCTAATGGGATTGTTGAACATAAAATAGAACACTTAAACAAATAATTATTGCAATGTTAACTAGTTTAGGCGTATCTCAAACCTTGTGGGGGAAGCTATCCTTTCGGCTAATCATATCCTCAATAAGATACCATACAAGAATAAGGTTGAATCACCTTATAAGTTATGAAAAGATCAAGGACCTTCCTAAAAATATCTTAAAGTGTGGGAGTATCTAGGAAAGGTACAAATACCTAAGCCTAAACAAGTTAGGATTGGATCTAAGACAATCGATTGTGTCTTTATCAGATATGCAGTTAACAGTAGCGCATATTGATTTTTGGTTAAAAAATCTGAATTACTTGGTGTACATGAAGGTACGACCATTGAGTTAAGCAATATAGTTTTCTTTGAAGATATCTTTCATTGTAAGGAAAAAGAAATAGGTTCGCTTAAACTAACTTATGATGGCGCAAATAAAGATGATGATAATCTTCAAGTAGATGAAGAGCCCAGGTGAAGTAAGAAGCAAGGAATTTGTAAGATATTCGATCCAAAATTCATAACTTATCTATTAGAAAATGATCCCAAGACATTTGACAAGACTATATCCTCTCCTAAAGCTCCTTTTTGGAAAGAAGCAGTACATAATGAAATTGAATCCATCATAAACAACCATACTTGCGAATTGGTTGATCGTCCTCCAGAAAACAAAGCTTTAGGCTGCAAATGGAACTTCAAAAGAAATTGAAATCAAATGGATTAATAGACAAATATAAGGTTAGATCAGTAGCTAAAGGATATAGACAAAAAGAAGGACTAGATTTTTCGATATCTATTCACCTTTAACAACTAACAAGGATCACGTCTATATGTGTCTTGATTACAATCACGACATTACATTATCTTGAAATACATCAAATAGGTATTAAACCTGCATTTCTAAATAGTGAATCGGTGAAAGAAATTTATATGGAGCAACGTGAAGGGTTTGTGGCTTCGAGAAATAAAGAGAAGGTGTACAAGCTTGTAAAATCGTTATATGGATTAAAACAAAAGACAAAGCAATAGCATGAAAATTTTGACCAAATTATGCTGTCAAATGGCTTCAAAATCAACGAATGTAACATATGTGTCTATATCAAAACCACACCTAATGAATATGCGATCGTATGCCTCTATGTTGACAATAGACTGATTATGGGAAATAACTCGAATGTCATTTCTTCAACCAAGATGTTGATAAAACACTTTGACATGAAAGATATGGGAGTTGCAAATGTTATATTAGGGATTAAAATCTCTAAGATACTTGATGGTTTGTCATTGTCTCAATCATACTATATTGAGACTATACTTAAGAAATTTAAAGCGTATGATGATAGACCAGTTAAGACACCAGTTGGCTTAAGGGTGCACTTAGCCAAAAATACTAAGAAAATCCTTGTCTTAATTAGAGTATTTATGCATTATAGGTAGTTTGATTTACATTACCAACTACATGTGTCCAAATATAGCATACATAGTCAACAAGTTGAGTAGATTTACAAATAATTCAAGCATTGAACATTGGAAGGCACTAAATCAAGTACTTAGATACCTAAGACACACGGTTAGATATGGATTACACTAGTCAAAATATCCTGAAATGTTATAAGGATATACCGATACAAATTATATATCTGACATAAAGTGATATGATCCGGGCTAGGCGCCAAATTCTCAATTATTTGACGATTGTTGGAGGTCGGTTAATACCAAGATTGAAGCTCATTTGGAGGCTAAAAACAGTTGATAAAGATGGCAAATCTCATGACCAAGATTTGGAATTCAAAAGTGGGAATTAACGTGCAATGTAACAAGTTCCATGATTGGCGGGAAGAGACTAAGTGCAAAGTCAGGTTTTATCACAGCCAATGAAATCATGCAATCAAGCATCGAGATTACCGAGCTACAAAGGACGATGTTTGCAAGCTTAAGGTCGAGTTACATGTTAGTCATAAAGGCAAAATCATGTTCAATGTATTGGATTTAAAGTTTTGGACGATATATGAAAAAATGAGCAATGTGGATTAAAATAGGCAAAAATTTTAGCTCGGGTGTCGAATTTCCGCCCATGAGTACAATCCGAAATTGTCACGAAATTTTGCACGAGGAAGAGGAGGTTTCAAAAATTAAAACTATGCGACCACATAGCTTAAAAGCCATGCGACCACATAGGTTATTCCAAAGACAAAATTGAGGCTGACTATTTGTTCTACGACTGCATTTATTTATACTATGTGACGGCATAATATACTTCGGGGATCAAAGTTGCAATTTTTCGTGAGTTTCCTATTTTGAGTAGAATTCTAATCTTTTATTATTTTTAGGATTATTTGAACTTATTTTTACCTTTTTAATTAGATCCTATGGTTTTCATATAAATAGGATTTTATTTTCATTTATTGGAACTTTTGACATTTGAGAGATTAATACAAGGGGTTGTTTTGCTTCCAATTTCTTGTTTCTTTGAAGAACAAATCGAACTTATCAAAATTTGTTAATCTTGTGGCATTCAAAACAAATCCGGGTGAGATTTATACATTGTGTAATTAAGATGTCGTTAATTTCACATATTAACGATTGTTTAATTCATCATTTGTGAATTAAATCCAAAATCGAATATTCTCAGCTTTCTTGGGATCCGTGTCAATCTAGTTGTGGGTTTATTAATGGTTGTGCTAATCGGGTTCACATCATAAAGGATTCGATATCTACAAGGAGTTATGTATTTACCATTGGGGGCGAAGCTGTATCCTAGTAATCGTCTAAGAAAACTTGTAAGCTTGATCCACTATGGAATCTGAGTTTATTGCCTTAAGTCTGAGGAGAAGCAGAATGACTTTGTAATTTCCTTGAAGAAATTCCATGTTGGGAGGAATCGGTACCTATGATTAACATACATTGTGATCCTAGAATAGTATATAATGGTAAATCTCAGCATATACATCGGAGACATAATACCATTCAATAGTTGATATCGAATGGTATAATCTCAATTTACTATGTTAAGTCAAAAGAAAACTTAGCGAATCCTTTGATGAAAGGACTTACAAGAGATCAAATATACTATCTTTTGAGGGGAATGAGCCTAAAACCTATCGAATGCAATCACCATAGTAGAAACCAAATCTTGTAGATTGGAGATCCCAAGATCTTGGTTCAGTGGGACAACTAAGTTATAAAGGATTCAAAGAAAAGCACTTAATCCATTCTTGCAAACTTAAAATGCCAGAGTAAAATGTGTATAAGGATAAGTGTATACTTTTAATGATTCCTGTAACTTGATAATTGAAGAGGTAGGAGATCACCTATTTAAGCGCGAAGTGGGGCCACTTCTACGAGAATTTGAGGCTTAATTCTCTTAAAGCACTTATGAAACCAAGAGTTGTTCAGGGCTAAAATGGACAAAACCATGAGAACCGAATTGGTCAGATGAGTTTTGGTGTTGGTAAAGTTTTTTTAATTTACACGAACGATTGAATGGTTCAAGACATTGCGTTTCCCAATTAGCCTAGTAAATTCAATTGTATTCGACTAAGGAAGGTTCAAAGGCACAAATTACCTATCTTGAGGCTATAACTTGTCGTGTGTACTCCTTCGTTAAAGTATGCATTTCATTTGCATTTGTTGTGCATATCAAGGAATTTCTATTCATGTGAGGAATTAATGGAATTAATGGAATTGGTTAAAGAAATCTAAAAACTTGGCAAAGTATAACTTAGGTGCTGTCGACTTTTGATTAAATATTCGAACATAAATCGATAGTCCAATTACAAAAGTAAATAGATTAGCTTGTTCTACTCATCGAAAGATCATCGTGTTATATTTGAAATGATGAAACAAATTCCAAATGAATGAGAAACTACGGTCCAAAGTCGGAAAGGAAATAGGGTAGTTAGCTGGAAAATCCAACAACACCATTGCTCACCTGAAGCTAGCACGTTGCTTGAGCGACGATCTAGAAAAAAGCGAGTGATGTACTTACTATTTTTGACGCTCAAGTGACACGAAGGCAATAAGCGAGCGACAGCAAATGTTGCGACCCTCGGCAATGGTTGTTGAGCTTTGGGTCACGTTTCTTTA